GTAAATTCTGTTTTGGATTTTACATTTTGATCATTTATAATGTCAGTACATTAATGTAACACTGACTTTCCATAGGGAATTACATTCCCTCTGCCTGTGCTTAATTCAGCTTGTTGGGAATGTGAATTCTATTGAAAACCAAAACTTCATGTCTGCATGAAGTGTGCAGACTTGTCATCTTTGTGCTGCTCTGCTTTTCTCCAAAGCTGTAGACAGGTAGAGAGCTGGTTCCGCTACGATACTCAGTCTCCTGAGGCTCGTGGCTGGGGCTGACTTTTAAATCAGGCGAGTCGGGCTGTCATCAAATCAGTGATGGACAACAGTGAAAACCTGTCACCTCCCAACTCATGCATCGTGTGCAAGGCTGGAGTTAAAGTTAGCCTTGGAAGAATCGTGGCATTGCGTCACAGTAAATGCTGTAGGTTGATGTCCTGTTGCTTCAAGTTTAAAGATAGGTGTGCTGCCATCTAGTGATTACTGGTGGCAAGTAAATGATGACACCTTTTTTTGCAATCTGGCTCCAGCCCAAGCAGCATGGGAATACAGCAAAGCCAAACTGGGAAACAAATTACCAGAACAGCAAAACTGCACACCAAAGAGTTAACATGAAAAAAGGTTGCCCTGAACAAAGGGGCAAGCTTCTGTAGCTGCTCACTGAAAGCGGCTTTGGCGTTAGGTCTATATAAAGCTCAATGACCTTCTGCTGCCTCCTGTTGATTCTGTAAAATGTCTGAATTGAGGAAAGGGCCACAATGGGTTTTGCTCCCATCAGGGGAGAGATTGATTTGAAACCTTTGTTTTATTTCAACCCTGCAGCTTACCGAGAACATGAAAATCAATGTAAATTTGAAGGAAAGGAAAAATATCAGGTTTTTGCTTGAAAGAAGAGTAGCTGAATATCGGTAAACATAACCACATTGTGTTCACAGTTCATATGCGACACAATCCCAATGCATATTCTGTGTAAAGAACCTGAGTATCACTGCATATCTGGATTGTGTGCATCCATGCAAATGATGGGGTTGAAGACAAGCAGAGCTATAGACAGCACATTAGGTGGCTTGCATTATTTAAAGAATATGCATTCATTTTAATTAATGAGATTACATTCATTAAGTGCCGCAAAGGACACAGAAGAGAAAGATATCACCAACAATCCTTTCTGGCTATTTTCAATGCAATTTAATTTCTCTCCTGAATCCACAGTGAAGCACAAATCAGAGGATACAAGTGGAAACTACAGCAAAGTGCATTGAAAACAAGCACATGATTACATAAATGGTTGTGGGAGTCTGGAGTAAATCTGTGGAAAATGGAGGGCATAGGACTGTGTCTCAAAATCCTGTGATATCAAAAGTCATGTAAGGAAAAATGGCATTTTTCATGGAAAAAAAACATTAGCAAATGCTGTGTTTAGAACTGACTGAAAATGACAAATGAGCTAATGCAACAGAGCAAAATGTATTTCTGCTGCTGGCTTTGCAAACTTCTCTAGGTGTGTGCATATATATATACACTGTTTTAGTTATATAGAATATTGTTAAGTTTTCCATTTGTGTTTTTTTTGTATTTACTTGTGAAAAGAAAATAAGGTTCTTCAAAATCTAAATTGGTTGTGGGAGACTGGAGCAATCTACTCAGCCATGTTGTTGAAGCTCATATCCGCTTTCTCTCAAGAAACAACTGCATGCAATTTTCAAATCAAGTAGCTTCAGACTACCAAATGGGTTAGATGGACAAAATGTCCTCCTCTCATTGGCAAGTTTTCATACCTTCTTAACAGCTCAGGTCTGCTGATTTTTCAACAATCCTGATCACTCAAACTCAATTTGTTTGGAAATGTGTTAGAGAATCATTATAATCATAATTGGCATGATCATAAAAACAGAATGCATAATGAAGCTGGAATGCAATTCATGATTAGTACTCATACTTGCTCTCATATTATGAAAACATTATAAATTTTGATTTCTTTTTACCAAAACACAAAAGGGAATTTTATACATTGGTGCTATCCAGAATTAAGATAATGCGTCTATAACTGTAGTACAATTCCTAAAACATAGGTTTATTCCATGGTGAAAAGAGAAGAAAGGAAACAGTTTCGGATGTGGAACCTTCTTCCTCTCAAGAAGAAGGCTCTACAGCTGAAACATTTCCTTTCTTCTCTTTTCAGCATGGAATAAACCTTTACTTGTTCCTTTGCAGTCTATGCATGCTGACGCAGCTACCTACAGTACTTGAACTACAATTCCTAAAATACTACAAGCTATTTGCAATAATCTTGGATCCAGGTAAAAGATTTTCCTGCCATCAATATGAGGTCTGTACAGCTGATTCTGCAGGTACTATAGACACTACTGTCATATGAATGTCTCCCTGGAAACCTAGGTGTAGGAACTAAGTGAAAATCCCATGTTGGCATTAGGGAATAAGTGCTCAAATAGACATTCAGCAAAGCAGACAAGGATTACAGTAGCAAAACTGGTTGTCTATTTCTAGAGCTGTAGAGATCAAGAGTTATCAAAATGCTGCGTTTACTAAACTCAAACTAGGTGAGTGAGTAACAAGCACAATCTCACAAAATGCATGGCAGAAACCTGAAGAGAGGCTTTCAGTTTGCATGGTTTTGATTACTGAGCAAGCAGCACGTCATGCTAACACAGCTGCACCCAATCACAAGTGCAAGGTGATGGTTTGTTAGGGGGAAATTCAGAATATTAAAATCTTAAGGTTTATGAAGCTGACTGTACTGTCCATTGCTGACAGGGGTGTGGAAACAAAAGGAGCGGTCAATACACTCTCTGCAAGACGAAAATGCAGAATTAAGTTTCCATGAAGTCAAATAGTCTGAGAAATTCCAAAGTAAAATGCCCCACTTTCCAATTTTCAAGGACTAAACTAGAAAGTCATCAGTAGAAAGAAATGGTAATGATCAGATTTATCTCCCAATCTCAAAATGTTTGCCATTTTAACTTACAGCAAAGTACACCAGAAAGCTTGTTTTAGGACAAGATAAAAATGAAGAATTTAAGACATGGAGTTTCCTAATCATGACAACAACTGAAAAAACTAACAGTACAATGGTTTGCATTGTTCTGCAGTAAAAACTAAAATTTAACCCTATTACATGTGATGAAAAGTATTCGAAGAACAGTTATATTAATTTATATGACGTTTTTCTGACTCATTTACAACAGCGTTGAACAGAGATGAACAATTCTAAGCAGGAGGTTTTATTGTAAGTGCAATAAATTCACTGCAAGTCAATAAAGTGAAGGGTAAGAGTTTACAAGGCTTATTGTTTCCCTGTATTCTTGAAAAATCCAACGTCAGCGATACGTTTTAACCGAAGTGATTTATTTGAGGTGTCGTCCATTTGTTACTGAATGGTCTTTGCATAACCATGAAGGTTAATCAAACAGAACAAAATACAAACACAAGCCAAATCGCTGATGTGGACATACTGTAAGGGAACTAGAACAATGCATTGAACAAACCGTTCCATTGAATAAACTACCGCTACAAACACTGACGGTTTTCAGATGGTAACCTTCTTTAGGTAAGACAAGGAACGATGTTGGTCTAAATGCCTTCGGAACTTGAAGACTTCTGATACACGCGTTCCTTTTACAGCTCTTGTAACTTGTAACTGTTCTTGGCTTGGGGGGGAAGGGCAGCAGCGAAACCCTTTGAAATTGCCATTGATAAAACTGATCGGATGAGCTGAGGCTTAATTCTTTCAACTGGATACACCTGATCCTGAAAGCAGGAGAATAATGTAATGAATCGCACCGCGTGCTTCTGTCAGTCTGAAGAAAGTTCGGCTGCATAGCGTATCGAGGAGAACAACTTGCCTTTGAATAATGTTGGGACTGTATACTGCAGGAGAATAGAGAAGTGATAGCAGGATTGAATTCAAATTCCAGTTGTTAGTAACATAAAGCTATAGAAGAAGCTATTTACACATTACAGTTTGTCATTTTCAAAGTCTGTTAAACTCAAAGTTCATGGTTTTGAATAAGGTCTATGCAGTACATGTAGTTCACTGAAAGGGAGAAAATTGATTGTTACAGGAGGCAATTACTGTAAATGTAGTCTATAGTAAATTTAATTTCATGACAAGAATAATGCAAATCGACTTGCATATTCCTTAATATGTTGCGTATTTTCCTTCACTTTATAACACCATCATAGATTTAGTGGGTGCATTATTTAGCATTGGTGTTAATGCCTATTAACAGAAGACTAATGGACGGATGGACGAGTGAGTGGGGGTGGTGTATGAACAGAAATATTTAGACTCCGGTCTATCCCATTATTGATCCTAAATGAAAAAATATTTCTTTCAGTGCAGATAAAAACTTGCATGTAATACTGTATATCTGTTTTAGCAAATGAAACGTTATTCCCTAACAATCAGACGGTTTTCGGAATGGCAGGAAAATTCCAGAGCCTAAAAGAATAGCTTGTAATAGGAACCATGGACCTTAAATTTTAGCTGAAAGGTGCCTCTCGAGATTCGTTGAAATTGAATGCTTATGATTTAATACTTTTGCCAGTTCAAGAGAAATAGCAGCTCATCGTTTATTTCTTTCACGATGATCTTCTTACACATTGCAAATCAGTCTCTGAATAAGACGGTATAACAAAATCCCTTGCTATGTAACCAAGACAGCGCGGCATTATTTTAGAAGAATAAAAGTGTAGGATTACCGACATGGAGGATAATTACTATCTGTGCCCAGTGCGTAGTGGTAGGTTATGTTCATTATAAGAAACAGCCAAATTCTGATAGCACCCTAAGATCTTCTGTGCATGGATGTTACACAAACTGACACATTACGTCCACACATGGATCGTCACCCGCATTCACAAAAAAAAATTCAATCTGGATAACGAAAAGCAATGGAATACTTCACCATACACACTCATTAATCACATTTTGTATTGTTTAGGTGGTACCGGGGGACCACGTGTGTCGCTGCAGGCAGTGAGTAAGAAAGGGATTAGAGAGAGGAGCGAGCTGAATAGGAATGAGACACTAAGAAAGATTCCAGCGGCAGGAGAAAGACAGGGCGTTCCTTCACCTGGAGTGAATGAAAGGAATCAGGACAAAAAATAATGGCAAGGCCGGCTATATCTTGGACGCAGTTACTTTGGACAGTTGGGAATTAACTAAAAACAAACCAAAGTACGCAGAAGATGCTTTATTCTTCTTATTTTTGGGGGAGAAGACAAAGTTAGAAGCTCGGTTTGGACTGCTTGTTTCTTTTTTTAACTATTACAAATTCTGGATCTGACTGAAACGAATTATTCATATAAATTGGACACAGGGAGAGAAATTTGAATAGGGGAAAAAAGATTTCAACTTGAGCAAAAGTAAAAGCATTTTATATTGGCTATTCTACTAAAACATGCAGGATTATTATAACACTTAAAGGTTGTGAAACGGCGATAAGCAAAAGTCTAAACCATGTATTAAAGATTTACAAATTTGTTTTCAACAGAGGGAGGTTTTGGTCTGTGTAATTCATTATTGTTCAAAACAATAGTTTAATTCTTGGGAATATACCACTTATGAGGACAGATTCCAGATAGCTTTTAAAAGCCATCGCTTATGGAACCACCGTGAATGTGCGATACAGGTCCTAAGAAATTCTTAAGAGACTTTCATGGGTATAAGATTAGTCTTATAATATGGAAGACAATGCACTGCTGCTAGAAAATTTAAATCAATAAAAATAAACAAGATTTCACTTTGGAAGGAGAAGCCTTTGGCAAACTTGATGAAATCGTGGCTTAGTTTAGTAATTATCTATATCAGTGCTGCGACATCAGATTTATGGGTTTCAGGAATAGGAACGTCTATAGTTGGCATCGGTAAAGTAAATGCTAAAACGGCTTTTGGCGCATTCCCAATCTTCTCTTGTATGAAGCTGTTGCTTTCTTCGTTCTACGCAAGAAACGGGACTTAATCGCATTTTTCTGTATGGACTTCTGTATGGTTCCATATCCTTACAACAAGTGGAGTATAGCTAACTTGGTGTCTGTTTACTAAAGCTTGCTATATGAAGATCGCGATACAGGTGTCGTCTTTGGATTGCCAAAATGCCTCTGCACCCCGTAACCTCCACCTTAATGTACAGAGGTATCTGCACAATTCCGGACATTCTTACGTACAGGACCCCTATAAATATCCCAGAGGATGAATTAGAGGGTATGTATGAGTTTGTTTTTCTTCATTCATCTCAAAATATAATGCAATGTGGCAACCAGATCACTGTGCTTACTGTAAATGTTCCCTGTCATGTATGGTCTGGGTTCAAGGAAAATTCATAGCCGCGCGGTGGCTGACAGCCGAGTGTGTATGCGATACAGAATTTCTAATTATAATAATAAATGCATTAAAGCCATTGTTCCACTGAATGCATTTGTATCGCTCACCCTTCACTTCTAAACTGTAACAAAAAATCACCAAATTGAAGCAAACTTTTAGAATAAAAACCCGAAGCGTTTGATACAGTAGACCGATATTAATGTTTTAGTCCTTTGCGAGGATATCATAGGCAAAACCTCATGCAGATATTTCCATCACTCCAAGCGTAAATGGTGCAACTTATTAGACTTTATGCCGTAAACACCAAAGCAGAACAGTTTGCAATCACGTCTGAATAAATCCACGCGGGAAATCCACCGGGAACCACCTGTACAACCTCACAGATTGAACACGCAAGTTAATATTTTCGCCATTAGAGTATTTCCCAGTATATTCCTTACCTACGGATTTTCATATGCCGCTATTGGACTATCACCTGCACTTTTAATGTCAGCAAATCGTATCAGACAAGACACTTGAAGCCATATGAAGCGTCAAGAGAAACCTCTATACCTCTTTTATTAATACACTTCTAACATAAGCAATTGTAACGCCACAAAATAAATTTGCTTCATGTGTAATCGAAATAAATGGTATTGCTAATGTGATGTTATACTGTAAATTGTATTTCAAGTCAACAGGAGGCTTATTTTTTCAGTACAATGGACAGCACTGAAGCATTCAATTATCACGTTCCAACTGTTTCAACATTCTTAGCATGTCCCTAAAACTCTCACAATCCTAACACTCCTGCAGAACATACAAAAGGATTTCAAAAGCTGAGTGATCTTGTTTTTGTCTGTGAATGCGTCTACGTGTGTCTGGTTTCAACAGATTCGGCACGTCTGCTACTTTCAACAGGAAATATCCTTTGTGTTGTTTGTATTACGCGACAGTAACCAGAACCGCAATTTTGCGATCTCAGAAGATATCCATCATCCCGAACAAGTAGTTTCAACGTTGTTGCTCCCCGTAGTCCTGTTGCTTGCAATTTATAGTCTATAAAGAGAAACATTGTTTTTCCATTATTGTTGTCTAATCCTTACCACGGCAACACGCTTGATCAAAAAATAGCTCTGTGGGATGTAGGATTTTATGTTGCGTTTCCTTCAGCATATGGGCTTCATGAACACACTGCACAGAGCAGTGTGTCACTTGTGAAACAAGCATAAAATGATTTGTTGCAAAGAGTTATAAGCAGTGTTAATTTTTAACGATCGCACTGTTATAATGCTATAAAAATGTAATATTTCTTTTGCATAACATGGGTGTCTAGGATGTGGGGTTAAAAGGATGATGTAAAAGCAATGGCATTAACCCAGTTCAACTTTCAAATGATGTTTTTTCTCTGGGGTGAGAGACACAAATTGGCTCAGCTACCCAGTCTGTTCTCATACCTGCCTTGTATGTCTGGGCCTGGAAGAGCACAAAACCTATACAAAAATAAAATTCCATACCGTGACAGAATGTGAGGCTCTCAAATTTGCCCGGTATGTTTGAGTGGACATTCTCCATGACTAGAGTGCACTCCATTGCAGTTTATGGGTTTTAGAAAAAAGCAATTCCCATGAATGAAACATAGTCTCTTGTGTCATTTTAAGCATTTTCCCTTTATTCTTGCCCATGCCTGTATTTATGGATCTGAGCAGATTTAAAGGATTATCATTATCTATCAGTTTTCAGACGTGGTAATCCTTAGAAACATACCAGCCGAGGAAATTTCATTGGGATATGTAAAAAGTTACAGCTTTATTCAGATTATGAGTCACAGTAGCCACCTTAAAAAAAGAAAACTGAGTAAAACTTACCCAGTTTCTGTATTTGGCTTTACCAAGTGCCAATGTCAACATATTAACCAGCTACTGCCTCCACAATTTATTTTGCCTTAAAAGAGTGAGAGCTCTGGAAGGCAGCAGAACTTCCATATAAATACAGACAGAAATTCAAGTATAATTTGTGCAAAAAAAAGTATATAAAAATGATAAAAGTCCTAAGTCGTGTTATCATGTATATAGAGAAAAAAAAATCATTGTAAATTCAACTTACTGTGCATAAAGTCTATTGATACGTCCATTTGTCACAGAAAATGTATTATTTGATATGTATTTAGAAATATTCATAAAGCTTGTCTGTAGCTTTTAAGTCTTGCCATTTGTCTTTGAATGCTCACACTAAGACTTAAATTCACACGTCACACTTTTATACATTCTTATAGAGGATTTCTACAGTACCTGATTTTCCAGTGACATACCATGATCTTCTTCGGCTGGATTGGTTCCAACTTAAAATTGGTAACATGCAGAGCATCAAAAAGAGACACATCACTTGTAATTGCAACAGTTTCAAGTTATTCTCAGGAAAATTACAATCTTTTTGTAGCAGGTGCACTGTCATTTTATTGATGTGATATAGGTAAATCCATTATGCTGATTAACATTCAGTATCAACAGGGGACCTAACATGAATGTCACAGGCTAATAACCTGTAACGCCACCTTTGGAAGCAATAAAAGCTGTACACCTGTGATGCATGCTTTGCACAGAATTGTAAATGCCGTCTTGTGGAATTTTAATCTTGCTCCTCTTATAGAGCTTGGACAAGCAGGTGCCCTTTCTCTGTTCTTGGAGCTCTAGATGCTGTGCATATTTCTAGTTCATTCCACACATGTTCAGTGGAGCTCACATCTGGGCATCTAAGGCAAAGCAGTTACCGTCTCATCTCACAAGACAGCCATAAGATTGTTACAGGAGAAGCAGGACAATGTCGTGCAAGAGCATGGTCTTGTCAGGATATGCTCAAAGGAAGGGCAGCAAGCAGGACTTGATCAGTTTAGCGCTGCACAGTTGGAATGCTATAAATCACAAGTGGAATTTTGTAGCAACTAGACACTCCTTCCCAGACACTTGACACTTTGACCTCTCCATCAATCTTGGCAAGGTGTCATGACTCAGGATCTGCCAGATTGCGGCCTATCATTGACAGACTGCATTTGGCTCTAACGCTTTGCCAAGTTAGAAGTTGCTGGCTCTGAATACTCCAGGCAGTGCGTGACCAGCCTCAGACATACCAGTAGCATGTAAAGTGTAAAGTGCAGCATTTTCACCACTCTTCACATTCTACAGCTTATTCATCTCTCTCTAAACAGGTCAATTAATCAATTAAATAGGTCTAAACAATTATGTGATGTTAAAATATGTAGCCAGTATACAAAATCCATTTACTTTATTTTTCTATAACATTCATGCATAAATGGGGTACCAGGTTTAATTTAGTGCTGAGTTTATTATTTTGTAAAGAGGGTTTATATGAGCGCTTCAATGAAATGTACTTGTTTTGATGAACTGGTGTGGAATGTGACCCAGAATAAAAAAATGAATAAATAAATACATATAACTCTACACCCTTGAAATATTACACCTGATGTGGCCAAATTGGTGCCAATTAAAAAGAGAAAAATGAAATTCCCAAGATGTACCTAGAATACTTCTCCCTTGAGTTATTCTAGTGATCATAAACAACAGCACACATTTAAGTTCAGCATTGAAGACAGGAGCTTCATAAAGTATAATGCTTATGAACACTTATCACAACATTGGCTTAAATGCTCCGACACCTCTCAGCACTTTTGGGTTCTATTTTAGGCTAATTAATAAAATATGGGCTTCTAATAGCACCATTAATTTTCTAAAGGTGTCTCAAAAAGTCAGTGGAGTATTTCAAGATCCTGTAAAAACAATACACAACTACGGGGGGAAAAAAGAATGATCACCTCTTTACTACCTGTAGCCTTAGTAAAATGCTCAAAAACTGAAATTAATCACATACAGTAGGAACAATTTACCAAAAGTCACCAGGAGTGCACCAAATTCTCGTTTCAGCAGTTACTTTTTTGTGATATACTGTATCTATTGTTTCACTGCTTCCTCTGTAGATTGGTTTTCCCATTGTGTATGAAAGGAACAAAAGATCTTTCCAGCTGAAAAAAAAATAAAACTGATTTATTTTCAGCATGAAAGGACCTAGCATTTTGGCAATCTTCCCCTCTGCAGGACTCTATTAGAATGAACTAAGAAAACAGACATGGCACTGTGACTATCTGACCACCACGAAAGAGTTTTACTCTGAGCTGGGCACAGGTGTTGAGCTACAGTATGATGTGTGTGTGTGGAAGTAGTTCTGGATGTTCCTCTTAAGTAGACAATTTCCTACATATTTGTTTGGTGGTCACCAGGGAGAAAAGGGAGATTCAAGCCTATCTGTATCAATAAGAAGAGAGGAACAGTGTAGGAAATGTCTAGAACCATGAATTATTAGTACAAGCTGTACCTTTTACTTTTGAACATTTGAATTATTCCGGCTGTCTGCTGAAATCTTCTATTATGGTTTTCTTAGTTTTTGTAGTTGATTGCACATTGGTGTTGTGTCCTGAATTGAATAAATGTCCTATCTTTTTTTTGTGTGTGCTCAATATTGAAAAATGTTTCACTTTGGACAAATACTGTTGTCAATAGTTGACTCCCACTTAAAGAGACCTTGTTTCTTTCTTGTCTTTTCAGTTCAGGACCTACACACATCACAGGCCTTTGTTTAGTAATTAGGAGCTGTCAGCATCAAATACAAAGAGTAATCAAAAAAGTAACTTGAATTAAACAAAAATCCTGCAAATCAATTGATGTTGATCCTTTAAGTCCGTTAAAGATCTTTTTGCAGAGAGAAAAAAAGTCAACTGCAAATGTTTTTAGAAAATTGTTATTACACACTAGCTCAGCAAGAAGAATAAGTTACTATTACCCCCATCTGGTTTCAAAATGTGTTGAAATTCAGTTTTTCTTCATCTATGC